CAACCAGCTATAGGGTCAGGCAGCCTCAGGACAGCTCACTCCCAGGAAATGAAAAGGACTAGCTCTAGCTTCAGAAGAAGTCTGTTATGAGATGCAGACAGTCTCCCAGCAGTCAGGCTGGGGTTAGTTTGGTATCTAGTGGTGCTGAGGGCTGCTGGAGCAGATGACCCTTCACCCAACCCTGATCCTGGCACCTTGAGGTATCTGTCTGGCACACATACCAATATTCTAAGTCAAGGGACAATACAATACTTTGTCCAGGACAAAAGTCCCTTCTTCCAGGTTAGTGTGGGGACAGCTCTCCAGGCCTCTAGGACCTCCAACTTTGAGGACCACCTAAAAAACTCTCCGAAGGGAAACATGTCAAACAAAATCTGATTCCAAAGTGAGATTTGTTACCTTGTTTCCCAAAGTTAGAACTGCCACACCAATCTTCTCCCGAATCCTAGTTACAGCAGAGAACAAGAGGAATACCACTGCACAGGACCAAGCAGACCTGACACACTCAGTTCCTCCATCCTTTTCCCAGCAGGATCACTGGCATTTTAAGTTAGTATCAAGAGTTGTCACCTTGCAGGAGAAAGCAAAGCTGGAGCACAGACAAGGTAAAGTTCCATGCCTACTGGCACTGGGAAATAGCCCCTGCGATGCTATCACCCAGCTCCAATCACAGAGGACTAGCAGACCAGCCTTCCCTACTCAGGAAATGCATAGCATAGGCTCAGGACACCCTTCCACCAGGCTAACACCCCAACATGACAGGAGCTAACTGCAAAGGGTGTTCTGAGCCAGGGTATCAGCAAGACCAGCATGAAAGCACACTGCCTCTCTGCTCTTCACACCAGCTCACCCTTGCTTTATGCCTTGACTGAGGTCATGTCTCCATTTCTCAACCACACACAATACTATTCAGTGTCAAAAGCGTTGTCACTTAACCCTAGGTAAGTCCCTAACTCTGGTCCAGTCACCGTACACGAAGTCGGTAAGAAACAAAAGCATCTTGTCCTCTCCTGTCCACAGCAGACACTGCTAGCACTAGGCTATCAGAAAGGCAATTGGCTTCATCCCACCTCCCTTTATGGGGTTGTTGAGAAGAACAGCCAGGGTGCCATTATCTCCTTCATCAGCTAGAAAAGATCACACAATCCATCCTGCATCAATTCCTGAAGCAAGCACACAGAAGAAGGCCTTGCAGAACAACTCACGTAGACCACAGCAGCCCTTCCAGATCTGAACCGCGGTCTGGAAGGAACTCTTCCAGGACTGCCCAATAGTTCCTTTGCAGCAAGGAATTTACAGGCCAGCAGAGGCAAGTGGCTCCAAATGACAGCCATGGTGCCCGCTTCTTCTGGAGTGAGAAGAAGAAAGCAGCTCCTGGGATCTCCTGTTCCAGAGTCTGGCAGTAGCAGTAGTTGGATCAAGTCCTCCTTTACAAGCCTTTTCTGGCCTCCAACTGTGACCCAGGGTCACAAACCTGCTTTGGCAAGCCCCATCCTAGACCACTACTTAGTTTTTCATGAAGCTGCACTATCCTTCCACAAGGTCACACCCCCATTCCCCACAGACACATCTCGAGTCACCTGTGATTTTCTCAGTCATCTAGGCTCCAGATAGGCCCTTCCACAGCTGGCCTTCAGGACATTGAGCAGTCCCAGGGCTTCTTGAAAAAATGGGGGCTTCAAAGCAGCTTTTGAGTCACAGGTTCAAGAGTTGAACCAGCATGGAGAAAGGGGTCAGGACTCTTCTCTAGAAAAGAGCAAGACATGGAACAACCACAAGGAGCCAACATCTCAGAAAGACACAGCCCAGGATTTCCTCAAACAGGGAGGGCACCATTAGGACTAAGAACCCTGTCACTGGCCAAAGCGGGACTCACTATGATTTCTGTCAAAGATTAAGTCATACCACTGACCTTATTTTCAGCAAAAGACAACAAGCAGACGTACAGCACACTTTAGAGGCTGTCAACACCCTGAGCTCACACACACTGAGGTGACTGAAGCTCTCCCAGTTCTGGAAGTCTGTTAGGGGCCTTTTGGAAGGAAGAGAGGAACTTTACTGAAGTACAGGCCTGGCAGAAAGGACAATGCTTGCTACTTTGAGGCTAGAACACAGAGCAAAGATGGCTTCCCTCTGGACACCTCCTTGATTAAGGAGCTGGTCAGACAGATGTCATTCCCAACTTTAGAGGCTGTGTACAGTAGGTCAGCTGCCTGGCACTGACTTTCCAGCAACAGCTAAATTTGTTAACCATAATTGTATGCTCAGAAAGGTAAGCGTTACATGACACCAATCTCTGTTACTTCTCTCTGAAGAGGGTTAATTTTAGTGTAAACTCTTCAACTCTGTCCCCATTTTGTATTTTTTCCATGAACAACTTAAATATGTGTCAATTACCAAGTGGTAGAATTCATAACTGAGCAGAGCAGCACAGAGAGCCCTGTGCCAGCACACAGCTCTTACCTGGGCCCTGAGCAATCTGGAGAAAGAGCAAATGTTTGGGACCCTTCAATGCCTCAGGAAGAAATCAAGGACTATCCTTCAGGCTGAGTTCTACAAAGAGGTCCTGCAAAGCCAGCACCTGTCACATACACCTAGCAGTGTTCATGGATGGTCACTGACACACTGAATTTAGGGGAAAACTTTCCTTGACACTCAGAAACAAGTCCTCAACTCCAGTTATCACAATGAAGTCACTTATCACTAGAGTCCTTTGAGATATATACTGGACTCCAAGTACCTTACCCACAACCCAATGAGTATAGTAAGAAAAGATTTAAGAAACTAAGTTTGGGGGCCAGGCACTGCAGCACATGCCTTTAACCCCAGGGCAGAGGCAGCCAGATCCTCTGTGAAGCCAGCTTGGTCTATATACATAGTGAATTCCAGAGATTCTGTCTTAACCCCTGCTCCCCTCTACCCCACCGAAAAAAGAAAGAAACTAAAATTTGGGCCTCCTCCACTTTTTATTTGTTTTTCAAGACAAGGTTTCTCTGTAACTTTGGAGTCTGTCCTGAAACTAGCTCTTATAAACCAGGTTGGCCTCGACTCACAGAGATCCACCTGCCTCTGCCTCCCGAGTGCTGGGATTAAGGCGTGCGCCACCACCGCCCAGCTATCTTCCTCCTTACACCTCCAAAAGAACTCTTTTAGTCAGAGCCTTAGCTAGCACTTGGACCCCTCAAGGTCCCTGTCCCATGTGATCTACGGCATTATGATGGCGCATCAAAACACTTGCTGATCCCAACACTCTCGCAAGCAGCAGTCAGGATCCCTGATAATTTCTCAGCAAAGGAGTGAATACACAGGACTTAAGAATTACACTGTGGAAGTTGGATGGTGATGGTGCAAACCTTTAATCCCAGCACTTGGGAGGCAGGGGCAGGCAGATCTCTGAGTTTGAGGGCAGCCAGATCTACGAAGTGAGTTTCAGGATGCTAAGGCTATACAGAGAAACCTTGTCTCAAAAAAAAAAAAAAACAAACAAAAATTACACTGTGCACATTGTGGCTTCATAAAGATGCAAAAGTCACTGAGGCTTCGTTTTCATATCACTTGTTTTATCTATTAATATCCTAATCATGTAATCAGTCACTAGACCCTCCCCCTCAAAAAACCCCCACAAGACTTTAGAAGAGTTTATCTAGCCTGTCCCTACTCCACCTCCAAAGATGTCTAAAATACTTGCTAAATCAGTATCAAGGTGATCTTAATGGGGCCTGAAGATCAGGAAGCCGAGAATTACTTTGGATCTGTCAAGCAGATTCTTACGGAGATCAGGACACCTTCATTTCTACCAAGACTGCACAAATCGTTGTGAATTCTTCTGAACACACCAGAATACAGCACATTGCTAAGAGTAACAAGCCAAACATAGGTAAAACTTTCCCGCTCAAACCGCAGTTACCTGGCCAAGCCCAAGATGATCTTTTTTTCTTCCATCTCGAGCATATTAAAAAGTGATCTCAAAGGCCACTTCCTGGTCTCCCATCAAGCATTTCATACCTGGATGCCTGCGCATCTTTCCATGGCCCTGCTCCTGCCTGTAACAAGGACTCCCCCTCCCAACATTGCCAACAAACCTTTGGAAAAAAACAAAAGGACAGATAAATTAGCCTATGCTCATACAGGAAGAAAAGGCTGCCCCTCTGATCACAGAACCCTTAGCAGAGGGAGATGAGACATAAAGTGACCCCTTACAGCTAATTCTCGAAAGCCATGAGACCAAAGCATCAGGCTGCGTTGCTCTGGTGAGGCAAGAGAGATGGAAAGAGTACCGGAAGGTAGGGAAAAGAGAACAATCAACTGTGATGGGCAGTAATTCAGTACCAAAAACTGGTCAGACATGAAATGGTGCATTTAGGCCAAAAAAGGTAACAGAAAAGATCTCACCTTCTTCAGGGTCGTCTTTCCTAAATTGCGACCCCAGGAAGAGTTTAACCGAGGTTATACCCAGGTAGTCAAAAAGAGAGGGGAGACTCTCCAGGGATCCCAAGCTGCAAGGCTGGGGATAGGGAGGGCCTAGGGTTCTCCCTGAGCCCAAGAAGGCGATTTCAGCCAGAAGACCGAAGAGGAAGAAAGGCCGAGACTCGAGAGACGCGGGCTCTCCGAGCCATTGAAGGGACACTAGTTGCTTCCTACCCTGCCCCCCCCGCAAGGAGACCCTCCCGAAGGTTCACGAGTCCTGGTGTCGACAGTCAAAGGGGCACGGTGGAGAGAACCAAGGGCGGTCAGGCGAAGACAACCGAGAACCAGCTCTGATCTCAACCCCGAGCGATCCCTCAGTCCAGGCCGCGTGAAGCCTCGGCCTCAGGTACCCTGAGCCGCCAGGCTGCCCGCCTTGCCTGCGGCCCCCGGACCCGGGAGAACGAAAGGCCGAGATGGCAGCGACTGTAGCGGACAGGGCGCCGCCGGGAGAGGCCCCCTGGCCGGGGGTGCGTCGGAGGGGGAGGGTCCCGGCACATGCGGCCTCGGTCCCCGATATCGAAGCAGTCACTTACGTTGCTCTGGGAGTCGATGGCCTGCAGCAGCCGGTCCCTCATCTGCTGCGGAGACGCCGGAGCCGCTGTCATTGCCTGAGCCAAGCGGGGGGGAGCGGCCGGGCCGGCGGGCGGGCAGGCTGAGGCGGGGGGACGCGGGTCAGTCACTCGCCGGCCTCCGAGAACGGAGCCGCATGTTCCCCGCGGCGCCGGAGGAGGTCGGGGCGCTAGGGGAGATGGCGGAAGACGGAGGGAAGCGGAGGGGACCGGAGCTCAGGCCCCGGACCACCGCCGCCGCCGCCACCGCCGCCGCCGAGCAAGGAGGAGGAGGAGGAGCCGACGGAGGAGCCGCCGCCAACACCGCCGCCTCGAGAACCAAACTCCAGTGAGCTGCCCCAGCGCTGAGCACTCTGGGTAACCCGCGCCGCACGCAGCGTCGGCGCCACGCTGAGGAGGTTGGGAGATGGGGGCGGGCGGAGACGCTGGATTTGGAAGGGGCCGGCTCGTGAGCCGCTCCCATTGATTCTGCGCATGTGCACGCATGCGCAGTTATCAGGTCGCGCCGCCCCTCTGCACAGCCGGACCCAGAGAGCCGTTGGGAGGCAGTTGGGCGGGGCAACGGATGCTGTCTAGAGACCACGCCCACTCCGGCCCGGAGGGCGGGGTTTCCTATCGGAAGCGCCCCGGCCGGCTCCGGGAACTCGGACTTGTCCTCTGTCCTGCCTCGGGGCGGCGGCGTGGGACGACCCCCGCTGGATGAGGGCCTTTTGCGCTCAGAAACGAGGGGATGGAACGGCCATTGGGACGCTAAGGAGGGCAGCGGTTGCACTGAGACCCGCACTACGTGGACCTCGGTGGAGTTCTGCGCAGCCGCCGCCGCTGCAGAAGCCCGAGGCGCGGGTCTGCAGGGCAGTGCGTGTCCCCATGTGACCCGCGCGCAGAGGGGACCTAAGGGCACGTCTGAGAGCCGCCGCCTCCGCGGAGCGCGCGAGCCTCCAGGGTCTCAGCGACGCAGGCACCTCAGCTCTACATCCGTACCGGGCGCGAACACAGGAAGAAGCGCCGCTCACGTCGCCGGCCTGAGGGGCGGCCGGGCCCAAGGTGGCGGAACTGCAGCCCGGCGTCTTTCCCTTCGCGTTCGCTTTGCGGTCAGGTGCTGGAAAATAGAAACTCCTCACCGAGGAGGAAAGGAAGCTCCAAGGTCACCTGGAGTTTTAGATCAAACCAAGAAACGGAGGATGTCAAGTGTTAGGGCTCCGGATCTCCTGTCCCTCGGTGGCGCGGAGCTCTGCAGACGATGGGGTGGGAGGGCGGGCTCCGAGTTTAGCGCCCTGTATTTCAGTGGCCTCGGGAGAAATAACTTCCGTTTTGTGTCGTTATCTTAAAGATCCAGACTGGAAATGGAAGGGAAACAGGTAATGGAAACCGCCTGTGCTTCTGAGAGCCGGGACACACCTGTTAATTTTGAATTTGTTGTACTTCTATGGAGTATCCGGTGGGGGTGGAGGGAACCAGACATTTGATCCCAATGCTCGGGAAGCAGGAGGATCTCTGAAGTTCGAGACCAACCAGGAGTACATACATGGTAAGACTCTCTGTCCTTCCCTCTCCCCATAAAAAAATAAAAGATTTATCATGGCTGGTTGCTTGATTCTGCACTTGGCAGAAGACTGCATTACACTAATAGAGTGAACACACATTTCTCACACTCTCCCTGCCTCGTGTTTGGAGCTCATGGTGCTAGTTGGGAAGCAGCCCATTTTGACGATAGATTTTATGTCAATAGATAAGCAAAATAAACAGATTCCTCCGCCATCCTATCCTGGCTTTGCTGTTTAGAGACAGGGTTTTTGTGAAGCCTGATCTGGTCTCAAATGTTTGTTCCTGCCAGTGCCTCCCTAGTGCAGGATTACAGACGTCCCAACCTGCTGTCTTTTATTAATAGTTGATAGTTGATTTTTTTTTCTCTCTTCCTTAAATACCGGAACTCACTCTGCAGCCCAGCTGGTCTGCATCTTACTATGCAGTTCTGATGGTCTGGAACCCGAAGAGAGCTAACTGCATCTGCCTCCCAAAAGCTGGGATTCAAATGACCACCATGCCCTGCAGACCTGCTATCCTAATCGTTCATTCAGTGGTATAGTATGTCTTTGTCAAAACAAATTTTATAGATGAACAGGCAATTGGTTTTGTATGGGTCAAGTTAGGAAAAATATTGGAAAGCATTCAGTTTACCTGCTGGCTGGATTATTTTAGACTTCTCTCCAGGTTTTTGAGACCATTTGTAGCCTAGCTTGGCCTTGAACCTTTTTTCTTCTCTTTCTTTTTTTAAATTTGTTTCTTAGATTTTTTTTTTTTTAATTTTCCTGGCATAGTGGTGTATGCCTTTAATCCCAGCACTCAGGGAGGCAGAAGTATCTCATTTCAGCCTAGTCTAAGTAGTGAGTTCCAGGAAAGACGGGAGTATGTAGAGACCCTGCCTATAAATAAACAAACAAATATTTTTCACTTTATGTTAATGAATGTTTTTCCTGTAGTATGCCTGTGCACCCATGTGTATCCCTGGTGTCCACAGGTCAGAAGAGGGTGTCAGACCCCAGAACTTACAATTATAGGCAGTTGTGAGCTGCCCTCTGGGTGCTGGGCATTGAACTCTGCTCTTCTGTTACACCATTTCCAGCCCTGGCCTTGAGCTCTGCTGCTGCCTCCACTCCCAAAGCACTGGAACTACAGGCATATACCACCACCATACCTGGCTGGTTGCTCTTGTTTCAGGCATGTACCACCACCACACCTGGCTGCTCTTGTTTTATTTTCTTAGATTAAATTTTATTTGTGCATGTGTATGCGTGCACAGTTCACGCCATATGTATTCAGGTGCTTAACATAGCCAGAAGAGGGCCATCATGTGGGTAATGGGACTTACTCAGTTCCTTAACTACTGAGCCATCTCTCCAGGCCATTTTCTGATTTTATTTGTTTTTTTATATTTATTTATTTATTATGTATACAGTATTCTATCTGTGTGTATGCCTGCAGGCCAGAAGAGGGCATCAGACCTCATTACAGATGGTTGTGAGCCACCATGTGGTTGCTGGGAATTGAACTCAGGACCTTTGGAAGAGCAGGCAATGCTCTTAACCTCTGAGCCATCTCTCCAGCCCTTTATTTGTTTTTTTTTTTTTAGGCGGTTTCTTTGTATAGCCCAGGTTGTCCTAGAACTCAGAGATTCACCTGCCTCTGCCTCCCAAGTACTGGGGTTAAAGGTGCATGCCACCATACCTGATTTCTGATTTTAAAATAAAATTGTGGAAGTCCTATGGACACAACTTTATTCTACTTGTTAATTTATTTAATTTTGATTGTTCTATATATACTATAGTGTGTGTCACTGCACCTGTGGAGGGAACAACTGGCAAGAGTCAGTTCTGTCCTACCATCCTGAAGCTTGGTGGCAAGTGGCTGTACCTAACGAGCCATCTGGCCAGCCTTGCTTTTGCTTTCTTGAGACAGGATCTCCCTATGTAGCCCAGCCTAGGTATGAACTTGTGATCCTACAAGTGTATGACACTCAAGTGTAGTCCTGTTGAAAAGTGACACTAGCTGAGCCTGGTGGTCCACTTCTGTAATCCCATTGATCAGAAAGTGGGCGCAAGAGGATCAGGAATTCAGGTGGAAACTTGGCTACATGTTGAATTTGAGGCCAACTTGGGCTATGAGTACATGAAACTGTCTCCAAAGTTTGTGCAGTTGGGGCAGGGGGTGGTATAGCTGGAGAGATGGCTCAGAGGTAAGAGCACTGGCTTCTTTTCAAGAGGACCCAGATTGTATTCCCAGCATGAACATGGTGGCTCACAACAGCCTGTTACTCCTGTTCCAAGAGAGCTGGAGCCACCTTCTAACCATAAGGGCACCAGGCATGTGGTACACAGACATATATATTGGCAAAGCCATTCACATAAAAGGAAAGAATTTTAAGTGAGATCATTGGGTTTTGATTAACTAAAGGGAGTTCACAGATATGTAAGCCAATCAAAATTCAGAATGCACAAGCTTGCTCTTTGGTATCCAGGTTTGGCACTAAACTCTCAGCCAAGTTGACTGGCCCTCAGGGCTGTAACCCTAGGAGTGGTGCATACACCTGCTATCCCATCAATGGGAGGAAGAGGATAGCAAATTGGGAGGACCAGTGAGGCTACTTGGTAAGACTTTCTCAAAAACCAATGATATCTCCAAAGAACACACATACTTCTGAAGCAGGGTGCAGCTGGAACAGCAGGGAGGGGACAGGATACCTAAGACATATCTGAAAGGGTGGCACTTGAGCTGAGACTTTCAGTGTTATATACACGCTGACCTGATGTGTAGAAAATCCCAGGAATTTCTGCAAAGGAAGATTTGGAGCAGACAAATATGCGCACATTGCATAGGAGATAGCCCCTAGCAGCATTGTCAGCAGGAATCAGAAGCAAGCAGATGTAATGCCAGAATGTCGAAACAGGACCACCTTGGGATGTAGTGAAGCTATCACTCAGCGCTGTGGAGGTAAAGATAGGATCAGAACTCAAGGGCATCTTTAGAGTGTGGAGTCCAGCTTTAGCTACAGAAATGCCAACCCAGTGACATCTACCAAGCCACACCTCCTAAGCAAACCCAGACAGCTGGAACTGGGAACCAAGTGTTCAAACACCTGAGCCTAGGGGGCCATTCTCTTTCAAACCACCACATTCTACTCCCTCACCTCTGTGGTGGCCCAATAGGTTCACTGGAAGTAGCCTTCTGGAGAAAATATGTCCCTATAGGATGGGCTTTTAGGTCTCAAAAACTCTAAGTGGGCCTAGTGTTTGACTTTTCCTCCTGCTGCCTGCAGATGTAGAACTCTGAGCTATCTCTCCAGCACCATGTCTACCTACATGCCATCATGCCCACCATGCTTCCTGTCATGAAAATAACAAACTAAACCTCTGAACTGTAAGCCAGCCCCAATTAAAAGTTTTCCTGCTGGGCGGTGGTGGTACACACCTTTAATCCCAGAATTTGGGAGGCAGAAGCAGGTAGATCTCTGAGTTCTAGGCCAGCCTGGTCTACAAAGCTAGTTCCAGAACAGCTAGGATTGTTACACAGAGAAACCCTGTCCCTAAAAAACAAAAAAGAAAAAAAAAAAAACAAAAACCCAACTTTTCCTTTGTAAGAGTTGCTAGCTGTGGTCATGGTGTTTCTTCACAGCAATAGAAACCCTAAGAAGATGATACCGGGCGTGGAGTTTGCTGTGACAGGCCTGACAAGGCATCTGTTGGAGAGACTGGATTAGAAATGGGCTTAATGAGCTGCACTAATAAGTACATGGAAGACGGTGCTGAGGGTGATTTGAACTGTGAGGGACCAACTCAAGGTTTTAGAGGAAAAAATATTAGTTTGTGGCCTAGAGACTGCTCTTGCGATATTTTGGT